CCCCCCGAATACTCACCTAAGCCCCCTCTCGAGCAATGTGCACTGGAGTCTTGGCTGTCCTGGGATTCTCTCTTCTCATTGGCTGAGACAGAAACCAGAGCCATTGGCTCCCACTGCTGCCAATCACAGCCAGTGAGCCAATGAGAAGAGAGAGGGAGCAGGCCAAGCCACGGCTCTGTGTGTGAATTGACACACAGAGCAGCGGGTGCTCCCATAGCAAGCTGCTTGCTGTGGGGGCACCGGCCAGGAGGGAGTGGCCAGGAGAGCCTGCGGGGGACCTGAGAAGAGGAGGATCCAGGCTGCTCTGTGCAAAACCACTGCAAACAGCTGGTAAATATGGGCATGTTTGTTATTTTTTCTTTAAAATAATAAGCCTTTAGAATCACTTTAAAGCAATAGTTAACACGGAGGAAAAAAAAAAACCTTTCCTCCTGCAAAGCAATACTACAATGTGCTAGTATGCATTGCATTCTTGCGCTTTATGTAAAACTTACCCTAAAATAAAGAACTCCAATGGCATGCTATCACTGCTGACAGGGCTTCCATCTTTGCCTGGTCTTCCTTCTGGGTTCAAGAACTCTGGTCCTTTTAATGGATGATTCATGATGACATCACTCCTGCACACACAGTTTACAGCACAGGGCTCTGAAGGAATGGCACCGATACGCCGTTCCTTCAGAGCGCATGCACCAGTGATGTCACCAGCGGATTCACAAGCAAATATCTCCTAAACGGTGCATGTTTAGAAGATATTTACAGTGCCTACAGGTAAGCCTTATCATAGGTTTATCTGTAGGTAAAAGATAAACAAAAGCATTTAGTACCATTTTCAGAGTTAACACTCTCTACTTATTAAGGCCAATCATCTTTGTCATAACTTACTCTTGTTATTTGCATCACATTATTGTGTTTACTTCAACATATATTCATATAATTATTTAAGGGTTCCAGTCAGAATGGCACAGCAAAGGCTTCCTTCTTTTAGTGCAAACTAATACTGCCCAACTCCTAAGGCTTGTATTACTTCCATGGTGGATCACATTACTGTGTGTGCTGATAAGGTTTGATCCACTCGGAACTCGGCATCACTGATAGCTTAGCTAATCAGTAGCTGACAAATCTTGACCAACCCGATAGGTCACCTTTATTACTCTCATAAGAAAATGGAGATTAAAAAAGTAAGGAAACATTCTTTCATGACTGAAAAAAATGTATTATTGTTTTAATATTTTTAAAAGTCACGCTTGATACAATGTAATGTAATTATTAGAAGCTGTTTTTAGGAAGAATGTATGTGGTTTAAACACTAAAATGTATTTAATGTGCTTTTTTTTGTTGTTAATAGCAATTGTTGTTCTGGGCAATCTGGAAGCTAATACAACATATGAAGTCAGGGTTGCTGCTGTTAATGGAAAAGGACAAGGGGAATATAGTAAAACTGAAATTTTTCAGACGCTTCCAGTCCGTGAGTATATTTTTTTTAATTGTCCAAAGTTTTGCTTTTCCGTGTCATAAATAACATAGAACTTATCAAACATTTATTACAATACAAACTAAAATATATGGAGGACCTTGTCCTCTCCTGGCAGAACAAATAAGAAGTTTATAAGAAAACAGTTTTACTGGACTGATTTTACTTTCTCTTTAAGAGAGATAGACACTCCTAGCTAGTGACCGTTGACTCTCTGAATCCTTTCTCTCCGGTACCTCAAAGAGCAGGTCACCTCCCCCCCCATTTACCTGCCCTGTTTTATACATACATTTTTCCATCAACAACTGACCCTCTATAATGTTTATTCTAATTTTTAAGGTTATAGTGTATAAACCTGTAACCATTCTTAAATAAAGAAATAGCAATTAATATAGTAATAAATAGTTACTTAGTCAAAGTAAATCTGTACTCATATTTGAACTTTCAAAATTAAACAAATTAAAAACTAAAGTCCAGCCTAGGGGCAGACGCTACAAGATGTTTGGTATTACTTTTTTAAGCTAGAAAACAAAAACAATCTCATTTGTGTGCCTCTCTGATTTAGTTTTACTTAGTTACTCTGGCATGATTTTCTTTGAAATCATAGCAAACAATAACAAGCTGCTACCCCCTATCTATTTAGAATGCCCTTTCTGTTCCCCGAGGCAGTTGCATCTACAGTAGAATGGCTGTTTACAGGACTGAGCCATGAAGTCAGACCTCTGTAAAAAAGTAAAACTAAATCTAGGAAGTGCAAAAATGGCTAATAAAGGTAACGGTGGGCAACTTAGGCAGAATGTTTGATTCTAAAAGTTTAAAGCTGACCATGGATGCTAGAGGTGGATGGAGTAATCTTCCTCTCTGTGCCATTGTATTCAGACAGAATACATGGAATTGGCAGCAGCTGGCAATTGATATATCAATTTCTGTTGGTTGGGAACAGCAGTAGATAGATTGAAATTCAGCTGGTTCTTGATGAACCTGCTAGATTTTGATCCACTTATGGGCAGCTTTAGAATTTATTTGTGTCAGATCAATTTCATGGATCAAATAGTCCAGTTTTATCCTTTTTTTAGTTAAATCTTTGGATATGCAGGGTAAAAAATACCCAGGATATATTGTTAATGCAGTGAATGTGACATTCACTAAACATTTACTGCAGGTGTATCTTACTTGTACGCAAGTTTTAAATTACAATGATTGATTCACCTGCAGTAAATGTTTGGTGAATGTCACATTATTCCCCCCATACTTCTTGTGTACAATGACTGTTTTTTGTCATTCTATAAAAATAAATATAGCAATAAGTGCATTTAAACATAAATTCACAGCATGGTTGTTCTCTTTATTACAAAGTAATCAAATTATTATGTACTTTAGTTTATTATATAAGATTTTAAATCTCAAAGTAACTACATATTTAGTGATTTGATTAATAAAAATCATATTGTTCCTAATGGCAAAAACACATCATTACTAAATAAAGGCTATATATTTCTATGGAATATTTAACAAAAAAAACAGCTATTACAGAACAGCATGCATCTTTAATTCTTCATTCATTCTGCAAGGATATAAAATATGTAAAGGGAACCTTCAATCTTTTTTATTATAGCACATATAGTACATTTTACATGCACTTGCTGGAAATTCTTAAAAATAACAGCAAGCACACTAAAAATCATATATGAGAAACAAGCCATACAGAACAATAATACAATACTCGTTATATGTGTAGACACACATAGTCACCTTTCCTTTTCACCTCCACTGCTCTGTTCAGTCTACAAGATCTGGGAAAGCCTTCTCTCTCTAGTCGAAGCTTACACAGGGCCCATCCACATGTGACAGCCCTGGGCCAAGTATCAGTGTTGGTGCTTGGGGTGAGTTACGTGCCCCTCAAAACCTAGAAGTGAAGGCATTTCCATCTCTACTAAATGCTGAACAGAGTGATGGGGTAGTGAAAGAAAGTTGAGCATAGGTTTTTGGAGCATTGTACTTTTAAAGTGAAACTATTTTTTGCCATGCATGGGCAGATTTACTTTAATGTGTTTAAAATGGTCTCCAAAAGGAAGCCCGAACTGAAAGGAACATGAAAACCACCATAATTGACCATCTGCTTCCAATTTTAATAGACTCTCACTGATCCAGAATTCCCTTATTGGCATGCTTATTCTAGGTCAGTGATTCCAAAATTATTGAAACCATTAGATTATTATGAAAACCATGCAACTGCCATTTTCAGAGCAAGACATCAGTATATTCCCTTTGGTACTAGCTTCTTTTATAAATATCTTGTATCTGTGAATGGTTTGTAAATGTATATTTACAGATTTGTGGAAATCCTTATTTGCTCATCACTAAAACCTGCTTTTCTTCCTGCTGTTCTGAACAATGACTGTGCTTTACTGCTCCTTTCAATGCACTCACCATAAGGTCCCGTGCACATGATTACATTTAGCTAGCCTTAAGACTCATACACACAGATGCCTAGAGGCATGAAATATGGTCTACCATAAAATTCTAGCATACTTATCTGCCTATTGAGCCACAGCTGGCCATAGAATGACTGTACGGAGTCATACACAGCTAAATTTACATGCCTATACCTTTGTACATTGACATACACTGGTGCATGAAAACATGTTTATTTGCTGTATTTCCCAATTCCAGAATTTATTTTGAGGAATATGTCATATGGGCATGTGTATATACCCAAAAACAGCTACATACAGCTATTCAATTCTGTGGTCAGCTGTACACAACACCTAGGCAGCAAAATATCAGGGTTTTATGTTTCAGTTGTCTATGTGTGTGAGGTATAAAGCCGGCAATACATGGATCAAAATTCTGCTGGTTCAGCAGTGACTGTATGGGCAGGCTAGTTGTACACAAGTCAATCTACCGATCAGCTTCTGCACAACCATCCTGTCAGGTTTTTCCTGATCAATCAGCGCCATCAGCTACAGCCTGCAGCATTGATCAGTGTATTCTGATGGCGGGAAAGGCTCCTTGTTGTCAGAGTACATTGACTCAGCGGGAAGGATTCCCCTATGCATATAAACTGTGGATGGGGGAATCGAGTCAAAGTCTTTGTTTAACCCACTGGTTGAACAGAAAAATAAATTAATAAAGTATGGCCTGACTAAGACTAGCTAAATGTATTCTTTGCAGTCATAAAGTAAGAATATGTATCACATTACTTGATGTACTACTAATGTTACATAGTTAGTCTGGCTGAAAAAAGACAAAAGCCCATCCAGTTCAACCATAAAAAAAAAACAATTCCTTCCTGATACCCCAAGAGGCAATCCGATATCCCCTGGATCAACTATATAAATAGTAAAAGGTATATTCTGTGTATCCAAGAAATAATCCAGGCCTTTTGTAGCCTCCCTGGTGGTATTCCCGAGTGTAGCTCGGGGTAAAGTTTTAGTACCACAAGCGGTAACCCCGAGCGACACTCAGGTTTACCATGAGGCGCTGCTTTGGGATCTGTTATTCTCTTACCTTGTTCTGCGCTCCCGCGATGTCCCTCCTGCAGTGTCCCCTGTAATGTCCTCCAGCAGATGCCGGCATCTGTTTTCTGGGTTCCGTTCCCTGCGACGTCGGGACGTACGGGCACGGAACGGCGGGAAATTTGAAAATGACAAAAAGTGACGTTCACTAAAATCACATAGTAAAACATTACTGTATCAAACCATTTCACATACATTTTGTCCCGAGTGCTTTGTCCTGTGCCCTGCCTGCATTTTTACTGTTCTTTCTGCCTGGAAACTGAGAAACGTCCATGGCATCCAAAAAGCGTCCCTTTAGGTCAAAATCGGTTTTAGACCAGCTAGAGAACAGCGATAGTAAATTAGAACCACTTGCAGAATTGAGTGATAATGATTCGTGGGGTAATTCATCATCAGACACTGAAAACGATTTTGCGACTTTGCTCAGTGATGTGCGCACTTGGCGCTATATTTAAAATTTCAGTGTTTTTGGTTTGATTATATTATTGAATTAAATTTATTAGTATTATAGTATTATTTTTTATGATTATTTATTAAATTATAATTTATGATTTCATGTTTAAAATTTTAACATACCCGGGATGTTTACTAGACTCTTGTTCGGACAGATTTCAGTGAGTTATTCCTAAAAATTACAGGCCTACAATAAAAAAACTACATATTTCCATGCAAACAAATGTACTGCTTTGAGCACAGAAATATGGACATATTCAGACCGCTAGGGAGGTTAAAGCAATCCACTGAGCTGGCCAGAACCAACTCTTGATGGAGTTTATTCCACATTTTCACAGCTCTTACTGTGCAGAAACCTTTTCATGTTTGGAGATTACATTTCTTTTCCTACAGATGTAAAGAGTGCCTCCTTGTCCTCTGTGATGACCTCAGGGTGAATAACTCTATACCAAGTTCACTATATGAACCATTGATGTAGTTATACATGTTGATCATATCCCCCCTTAATCTCCTCTTCTCAAGAGAGAATAAATTCAGTTCCTCTAATCTTTCCTCATAGCTGAGCTCCTCCGTGCCTCTTATCAGTTTGGTTGCACTTCTCTGTACTTTCTCCAGTTCCCCATTGTTCTTTTTTTGAATTGGTGCCCAAAATTGAACTGCTTATTCCAGATGAGGTCTTACTAATGATTTGTACCGGGGTAATATGATATCTCTCTCTGGAGTCTATACCTCTTTTAATACAAGAGAGGATTTGCTTGTTTTAGAAACCGCAGCTTGGCATTGCATGCCATTATTAAGCTTGTGATCTACCAGAACTCCCAGATCCTTCTCCACCATTGATTCCCCCAGTTGTACCCCCCTACTTTGTATGATGCACGCATATTCTTAGCCCCCAAGTGCATAACCTTACATTTGTCAACATTAAACCTCATTTGCCATATAGTTGCCCAATTAAACAGTGCATTGAGGTCGGCTTGTAAATTGGAGACATCTTGTAAGGACATTATTCCACAGCATAGCTTGGTGTCATCTTCAAAGACTGAAATGGTAATTTTAATACCAAACCCTATATTGTTTGTAAATATATTAAAAAGAAACGGTCCCAACACTGAACCTTGGAGTACACCACTGATGACCCTAGACCAGTGATGGGCAACCTTTTTTTTCAACTGAGCCAAATCTCGCCAAAACCACGATTGAAATTTATTTTGAGAGCCACATTTTTAAAACTGAAAATACATCCCCCATATAGTAATTCAGCCCCCATAGTAATTCATCCCCCATAGTAATTCATCCCCCATATAGTAATTCATCCCCCATATAGTAATTCATCCCCCATAGTAATTCATCCCCCATATAGTAATTCATCCCCCATAGTAATTTAATCCCCCATATAGTAATTCATCCCCATAGTAATTAATCCCCCATATAGTAATTCATCCCCCATATAGTAATTCATCCCCCATATAGTAATTCATCCCCCCTATAGTAATTCATCCCCCATATAGTAATTCATCCCCCATAGTAATTCATCCCCTATAGTAATTCATCCCCCATAGTAATTCATCCCCCATATAGTAATTCATCCCCCATAGTAATTCATCCCCCATATAGTAATTCATCCCCCATAGTAATTCATCCCCCATAGTAATTCATCCCCCATATAGTAATTCATCCCCCATAGTAATTAATCCCCCATATAGTAATTCATCCCCCATATAGTAATTCATCCCCCATAGTAATTCATCCCCCATATAGTAATTCATCCCCCATAGTAATTCATCCCCCATAGTAATTCATCCCCCATAGTAATTCATCCCCCATATAGTAATTCATCCCCCATAGTAATTCATCCCCCATAGTAATTCATCCCCCATATAGTAATTCATCCCCCATAGTAATTCCCCCATATAGTAATTCATCCCCCCTATAGTAATTCATCCCCCCATATAGTAATTCATCCCCCATAGTAATTCATCCCCCATATAGTAATTCATCCCCCATATAGTAATTCATCCCCCATATAGTAATTCATCCCCCATATAGTAATTCATCCCCCATAGTAATTCATCCCCCCTATAGTAATTCATCCCCCCTATAGTAATTCATCCCCATAGTAATTCATCCCCCATATAGTAATTCACCCCCCCTATAGTAATTCATTCCCCATATAGTAATTCATTCCCCATATTGTGTCAATTCACTTACCTTTGCTCCGCGCGTTCTTCTCGCCGTGTTCCCGCGCCGTTCTGGTCTTCAGGGCGGACTGTGAGAGATGAGGAGTTCGTCATGCTGCCCCGCCTACATCCTGGCTGCCCCGCCTACATCCTGACAGCTGCAGAGTCCTGACTTTTGGGGCGGCCGCCCGAGAGAGAGGAGGGAGGGGAGCGGGCGCCCGGCACACAGAAGAGCCGCATTTAAGTTTGTAAAGAGCCGCATGTGGCTCGCGAGCCGCGGCTTGCCGACCACTGCCCTAGACCATTTAGAGTATGAATCATTAACCACTACTCTCTGAATACGATCTTTTAGCCAGTTTTCTATCCGTTTACATACGGATTTTTCCAAGCCTGTAGACTTTACCTTACCCATTAGCCATGTGTGAGGAACTGTGTCAAACGCTATTGCAAAATCCAAGTATCCAAGTCCAATGTGCACATAATAATAACAAATACACCATAGTTTAACTTTAAGGTAAAAATACAGTTAATTTTCCTGCTACATCATTTCTTAAAATATAACACCTCCATTTATCAAGAATTACTGTATATAAAATATATATATATATATATATATATATATATATATATATATATATAACTTGAGAAATCCCTGGTACAACATGTTCTTTGATGTTATTTTTTATCATTCCTTTGTGTTAACCTGACCCATAAAGGCTAGTGCGATCAACATAAACCAAATTATTTGAAGCTCAACTATATAGGACATAACCAGTAGAACAATGAATTAACTTTGTTATCTCATTTTCACAGGCTTTCAAATGTATAACAGTGCAAGTGTCACATCTAGCCACTCCACATCTGAAAGACCTCATAAGAATTTCAGTCCTCCCATGAGATATTATATTTCCTCTAACGCAGCTGGAAGCTATATAATTTTAAAAAATAAAACAGTGTTCCTCAGATTTATGAGGTCCCTAAAGTAATTCCTCTCGACATTCTGTGCTGGCGGGTTCTGGTTTTTACACATGGGGCAGAGAGGTTACTGACACCATGTTAGACCTTTTCAGCTCCAGTTTGTTCAACCTTAAAACATGTTTACAATATACAGTATTTCTTTAAAAATCCTCTCTCGAAAGAAACTGATTTGTCACAAAACATTTTTCATTAATTGCATAATGTGAATAATATTTTGTTTTCAGACAAGGCTTTAATTAATATACTAAATGGATCTGTGAATGCTGCAAGAAACAGGCATAAGTATAATTAAAAGATAAAAGTTAATGTAATTGCTATAATTGCTTAATTTAGGTGATGTTTTCCTAAACATTTTCTAAGCATTGAATGAATAGTGCAGGCTGTGCTCAAGAGTGCCCCTAATATAAATATAATATATATAATTTTATATGCCTTAGGGTAATTTATGCAGAAAAATAGAAGAAAATAGAAATTTGATTCCCTGAAGGAAAATAAGGAAAATCATAGGAGAATTTGCTGGTAAAACAGCAAGTACAGCTTACCTTAGCCTGTTAAATAGTCAGCTAAAACCTTGCTAAAGCATTACTGCTATCACTGAAGGCAAATCTGGGTGCTTGCATATGATTTTAGCTTTTCTGTTGTGTGCCAACCAGAGCCTGGAGTCCTGGCTGGAATGAAAACACAAAGGATTATGGACTTTGCAGCATTGTATTTATAATTTGTAGCACATATTTAAATATAGTGCTGGTTTTGCATGATAAAATATAATATAATATTTATTTAATCACAACTGATTCACAATATAGGGATTATTAAAAATTGTTGATTTGTTGGTTAACACAGTTATAGGTGATATATAAAAAAGAATCAATTACAAAGTCAAATATGTTACATTGTCCTGATATCAGCCTCCTGTATAGTAGAATTTAAAGCCCAAGTCTGGGAAAGTAGAGAATCCTCCCTTGCAGTGGGACTGCTGCCCATTCTGCAAGGGTTAACTGCACTTTTAGTCAAGGTTAGAATGGAAGCACTTTACCTTACCTGATCCTCTGTTGCCATGGTAGATGGAGCTCCCCTATTCTCCAGTCTGGACTGTTCATCAGAGTCATCACATCCAGTGCAGGGTTATGGACCCTGCATTGGTCATGATGACATCAGAACCTTGGTCCACTGGAGCCTGGTGCTATGGGGATCAATCAAGCACCCTGGAGGAACAGAGGATTGGGTAAGTAGATCTTCTTTTCTATGTCCCCTAGACCTAAATGAGCTATTAATCCTTGTAGTATAGGCAAAGCTTCACTGCAAAGGATAATTTGTAAGTTTCACAGATTTGAAATTTACTGCACTTTTGGTCAAGGTTAGAATGGAAGCACTTTACCTTACCTGATCCTCTGTTGCCATGGTAGATGGAGCGCCGCTATTCTTCCGTGGTGGACTGTTCATCAGCGTCATCACATCCAGTGCAGGGCTATGAACCCTGCATTGGTCATGATGACATCCGAGCCTTGGTCCACTGGAGCCTGGTGCTGTGGGGATCAATCAAGCAGCCTAGAGGAGCAGAGGATTGGGTAAGTAGATCATCTTTTCTATGCCCCTAGACCTAAATGAGCTATTAATCCTTGTAGCAAAGCTTCACTGCAAGGGATAATTAGTAAATTTCACAGATTTTAAATTTAATCTTGGGGAGGAAAGACTAATTGGGCCCTGCTACAGTAACATGTGCTATCCTTGATTGCACTGACATGGGAATGGA